TTTTAAGGTTAAAATTTAATCCATATAATGGGGAAAAAAAAGTAGAACCCAAGAAAAATAAAACTTAAATATAGTCTCTGGCTCTGGCCCACCTTATACGTTCCAGAGATTTCTTTTTTTAGATTAAAAATGTTTATTTATTTTGTGTGTGTGTGTGTGTGTGTGTGTGTGTGTGTTTGAGAGAGAGAGAGAGAGAGAGCAGGAGAGAGGCAGAGAGAGGGGAAGAGAATCCTGATGTGGGGCTTGAACCCATGAACCATGAGATCATGACCTGAGCTGAAGTCAGACACTCAACTGACTAAGCCACCCAGATGCCCCCCAATTTTTTTTTTAATTCAAGTATAGAGGAAGCACTGTTATAATACCATTGACTATATTCTTTGTGCTGTGCCTTTCATCTCCGTGACCTACTCATTTCATAACTGGAAGCTTGTATCTCCCACACCCTCCCCTTTGGCAACCATCAGTTTGTTTCATGTATTTATGGTCTATTATAGCTTTTTGCTTATTTATTCATGTTTTTTTTAAGATTCCATGTAAGTGAAATCATATGGTATTTGTCTTTGACTTATTTCACTTAGCGTAATACCTTCTAGGTCCATCTGTGTTGTCAAAAGTGACAAAATCTCATTTTTTTTAATGGTTGAATGTGTGTGTATACGGTATCACCTTTATCCATTCAAGTATTGATGGACACTTTGGTTGCTTCCATACCTTGGCTCTTGTAAATAATTCAATAAACATAGGAGTTTATATATATATACATACACACATATATATATATACACACACATATATATGTATATATGTATGTATGTATATTAACATATGTATCTATATATAAAAACATATGTATATATCTATATAAACATATATTTTTTCAAACCAGTGTTTTCATTTTCACTGGGTAAATATCCAGTAGTGGAATTACTGGATCATATGACATTTCTATTTTTAATTTTTTGAGGAAACTCTATACTATTTTCCGCCATGGCTGCACCAATTTAGATTCCCACCAATTGTGCATAAGGGTTTCTTTTTTTCTCCACATCCTCACCAACACTTGATACTTCTTATCTTTTTGATTCTGGCCATTCTTACAGATGTAAGGTGATATTGTGGTTTTGATTTCTTATTTCTCTGATGATTATTGATGATGAGCATTTTTTCATGTATCTGTTGGCTATCTGTAAGTCTTCTTCAGGAAAATGTCTATTCAGGTCCTCTGCCCATTTTTTATTGGATCGTTGTGATTTTTTTCTTTTTTGGTGTTTAGTTGTCTAAGTTATTTATACATTTTAGATATTAACCCCTTGTCAGATGTATCATTTGGAAATATCTTCTCCCATTTAGTAGGTTGCCTTTTTGTTTTATTGATGGTTTCCTTTGCTGCACAAAAGTTTTTTATTTTGGTAGAGTCCCAATAGTTTATTTTTGCTTTTGTTTCCTTTGCCTGAAGAGACATATCTAGATAAGTGTTAAAACCAATGTCAAATTACTGCCTATGTTTCCTTTTAGGAGCTTTATTATTTCATATCTAACATTTAGGTATTTAATTCAGTTTGAGGGTTTTTTTTGGTGTGTGTATAGTGTTAGAAAGTGATTCAGTTTCAATCTTCGGCATATAGCTGTCCAATTTTCCCAGCACCATTTGTTGACGAGACTGTCTTTTCCCCATTGGATATTCTTGCCTCCTTTGTTGTAGATTAATTGGCCATATAAGTGGGAGTATATTTCTGGGCTCTCAAGTTTGTTCCATAAAATCATTTGTTCCTAGTCCTGTAATTTATGCTATTAGTATTTTGATAGGGATTGCACTGAATCTGTAGTTTGTTTTGAATAGTGTGGACATTAAAAAAATATTCTTTTCATTTGTTTGTGTCATCTTTAATTTCTTTCGTCAGTGTTTTATAGTTTTCCAAGTACAGGTCACTCACTCCTTGGCTAAGTTTATATTGAAGTATTTAATTCTTTTTGGTGTAATTGTAAGTGGAGTTTTCTTAATATCTCTTTCTGCTACTTTGTGATTAGTGTTAAGAAACACAGGTGATTTCTGTGTATTAATTTTGTGTCCTGCATCTTTGTTGAATTCATTTATTATTTCTATTAGTGTTTTGGTGGGGTGCTTAGGGTGTTCCATGTATAGTATTATGTTATCTGCAAATAGTGACAGTTTTACTTTTTCCTCACCAATTTGGATGCCTTTTATTTCTTTTCGTTGTAGCTAGTCCTTGTTGAATAAAAGTGATGAGAGTGGGGGCGGATGGGTGGCTCAGTCGGTTAAGCATCTGACTTGATTTCAGCTCAGGTAATGATTTCACAGTTCAGAGCCTGCTTGGGATTTCCTCTTCTCTCTCTTTCTCTCCGTCTCCCTCCCTCTCTCTCCCTTCCCTCCCTCCCTCCCCCGCTCTCTCTCTCAAAATAAACATTTTTTCATTTTTTTAAAGTAGTGAGAACAGACATCCTTCTATTATTCCTAAACTTAGGGAAAAGCACTTAGTTCTTCACCATTAACTATGACGTTGGCTGTAGGTTTTTCATATATGGCCTTAGTCACTTGAGGTATGTTCCCTCTAAACCCACTTCACTGACAGTTGTTAACATGAATGGATACTGAATTGTGTCAGATGCTGCTGGAGGCCGGCTCCAGCATGTCCAGGGGTCCCTGAAGGATGGAAGGTGTCGGCGAAAGAGTGAGAGAGCCCCGGAGATTCTTTCTGATCACCAGGCAGGCATCTCTGCTCTGACCCGGGCTCAACTTTATTTTAAGTGTTTTTGAGACGGCACAGAAGTGGCATTTGCCTTAGACAATGATTTCTGACAACAAACTTCTTTGATATGTAAGAATTTCCCAGAACATAAATTTGTAGAAGACTCGTACATAACCTTTATCAATAGCGATTGCGGTAGGGGATTTAGATGCTTATCTTATGGGGAAGGGAGGCATCTTTAGCATACAAGACAATGGTTTTAGCATAAGAGGGTGAAGTTACTTCTCTGTGAGCAGGGGTCAAAAACAGGTCTTTCAGGAGATACCTTTGCTCTCATAATCACAAAAGGAAGAAGTTCCTCAATAGGTTCCTTCACAGGGAGTAGTCAGCATATACAAGGCCAGAAAATGCTCCAGGCAGAAACAAATGGGTGGGGGTAGATATTTCCCCTTAACTCTAAATTAGGCTCTTTGCCTCAGGGCCAGACTCAAGCCCCCTTTATTATGTAAGTCTTGGATATGCAAGACCCTTAGGAAGAGCCTTTTGACAATCACCTTTGGAAAGGCAAGGACATGCCTTTCCTTATGATCTATCTGTGTGGGGAATATCGGTCTGATCTGGAATATTGTGAGACCTGGTAAATACCAGCAGCCTCATTTGCAACATGAGCCAGTAGTAGCAGGAGATCCCAGTTTCCTTGCTGTGACTGCCATCCAGAGAGGCTGGTGCGGCTCCTGGCAAGATGCTTTTCTACATCTATTGAGATGATCATATGATTTTTATGGTTCCAGAGTGCTTTCAAGTTCAATCTATGTGTCACTCCAGGGCGTGTGACAGCTACACAGAATAACAGCCTTTGGTAAGTGGAAGTGAATAGTGGGAGTCTCCTGAGTTACTCATGGATGCTGTTTTCCATTAGGAGTTATTTCAGCACTAGGTAAATAGCCCAATAGTGACTTAAACCATTAGAACATTTCCATTTCTTTCAGCCTTATTAAAATATAATTGACATATAACATTGCATCAGTTTAAGGTGAACAGTGTGATAATTTAATACATGTATATATTATGAGACCACAATAAGGTTAGTTAACACTTCTATCACCTCATATAATTACCTTCTTTTGTGTGTTTGGTGATAAAATATACTCCTAGCAACAATCAAGTACAGAATACACTATTGTTAACTCTAGCTGCTATGTTGTATACTACACTCGATTCCTGGAATTTATTCATCTTATAACTGGAAGTTTGTACCCTTGACCAGCATCTCCCTGTTTATTTCTCCACCCTCTAGCCCCTGGCAACTACCGTCTGCTTTCTGAGTTTGCCTGTTTTAGATTCCATATATAAATGAGAACATACAGTTTTTGGCTTTTTCTTATTCCACTTAGTGAAAGGCCCTCAAAGTCCACCCATGTTGTTGGAAAAGGCAGGATTTCTAGCTGGGTGATTTGAGTGTCTGTGCTTCCATTCTCTTCATCTGCTGAGCCACTTGTTTCCGTGTCTTGCTTGTTCTGAGTATGGCTGCACCGAACATGGGAGCGCAGCTCTCTCTCGGAGACAGTGATTCCTTTCCGATAAATACCTAGAAGTGGGATTGCTGGATCACATGGTAGTTCTGTTTTTAATTTTTTGAGGAACCTCCATGCCAGATTCCAGAGTGGCTGCACCAGTTTATATTCCCACCAGCAGTCATGAGAAGAAACTTTATTGCATATTCAGCGATTAGTGGAATGAGGTCCCAGGATTGGTTCCACAATTCAATGACATTGTGGATTTAGGATCTTTTCTTTTTTCAGAGGTCATCCTCCATTGATTGGCCTTTATTGTCCATTGTCCTCTGGTTTAAGGTTGGGGTTATGGCTGGCTTATTGACAAGCATCATTAAATACCTAAAGTATCTAAAACACAAAGGATGAGGACAGGAGCATAAAAGACCTTTTCCTTCATGCAGTTGTTTAAGTCAGGGGAACAACTCTTATTCACAGCTTCTCTGACACACGTTACCTCGAATTGGGTAGCACGACCAGCTCCAATTAATCCCTGAAAGTACAGATTGTCCTGACTCATCACTAAGAGCTGGAATTCAGGAGAACTAAACAAATTGCGTATTACGCTATACGGGTAGGCTTCTGGTAATAGCCACCTTTTGTGGATTAGCCTGCTCACACAGGCCCAGATACATCAAGTTCTATCTGATTAAGGCAACAGTGTTTTGAGAAAATTATAAACTGTATGCGTAAAAATGATAAGCTCTCTCCCAATGATCAAATGTCATGTTTCCAGCTCGTTACAGCAACATCAGGCTGCACAGTGCAGTGAAAATAGCATGGTCAGAGGAAGGCGGACCCTGACCCTGATTCCATGACTCACCGCCTGTCACCTTGGAAAAGGTACTTAAGCCTTGCCCCTCACTTTTTTCAGTTGTAAAATATGAAGATATTATCTTTCATGTAAGGGAGCTGTGAGGACTACATGAGATAATGAATGGAAAACATACTGATGTTTGATGACTAGTAAGCGCAATTTGGCAGTTACCAGGCTTATGTGGGTGTATGTGTGTAAGAGAGCCGTTAGAAAAAATATTTCCTGCACTCCAGGAGCTTAAGGGTAAGTGGGCAAGCATTTGGAAAGGAAGTGTGGTAGCAGAAGAAAGGGCATTAATACAATTAAGAGACATTTCTTTCAAGTCGATATAAATTATGCTGCATATCAGCAGCTAAAAATAAAAATGTGTTCACTGCCCTACTGAGGATTACATAATTAGGTCCTGATGTATCGCTTGGAAGTAATGGATGTTTTCTAAATAATAAAACAGTTATAGAAATTGTTAAGAAACTTCTGGCTAATTTGCGAAGAGAAAACTATTTCTATGGGGTGATTATTTATAGAGCTATATTAAAATTGTGTGATGTGAGAATAATCATTAGAAAACAGGAGTTCACAGTTACTGAATACTTCTATCCCAAGTTTTGTTCCAAGTACTTTACATGCCCACAACAATCCCATGAGGTGAGCAGTATTATCTCCATTTTTCTGATCAGAAAATGAGCACCAGAGACGATACATGACTCTCAAGGTTGCAAAGCTGGTTAATCGGCAAAGCCAGAATTTGAACTCAAGAATTCTGGCTCTGGATCCCATGCTCCTGACTGGCACACTGTCCAGTGTTTCAGTGGAAGCAGATCTGGGATGGGCTGGCTCAACCGCTGAAGCAAGGACAATACTAATTAGCCTGTCTATGTGGACGGGTAGCAATTTGTCCTCATGTACAGCTAAATAAAAAAGTTTAGTTTTCTCCTACCAGAATTCAGGATGTGGATAATGCTTAGATTCCTGAGGGGAGGGGGTAGAAGAAGGGATGTTCTAGCTCACCCACCCTCAACCTCTTTAAATGGTTGCACTGTGTGGGTAGGAGCAAGCCGAGTGATTTCCATCTCTCCAACAACCTTGCTGAGGCCAATAAATATCTGACTGAAACAAATACGAAGTTTAATTTTAGATGTGGCCAGTTGAAACAAATCCCTTGATATCACAGTAGAAAACAGAGTCTGTTCTGCCATGGGAAACAATGTACCAAATACAGAGGCGTAAAAACAACTATGCAGAAAGACCAGTAACTGGAAGATACTTTATTAAGATCAAAGGGTTTCCATTACATTCATTTATAAATCCTTACTACTTAAAACGGAAATAAATAATAAAAATCTAGATCTTCAAGAAGCTTTGAATAACAGTTTTGTAAATGTGCAAAGATTACATGTTTGCCGATCTTAAATTACAATTTAGATACTTTCAATCATTGTACAATACCTGGAATGTCAGCCTTACAGATATTAAGAACATTTATATGAGGAAGTAAAACAATGGGGAAGAATATTTCAATTTCACCTATTTTTAACCAACTCCAATTTGATAATCATGGGAATACAGAATTTCCTTCTTGATGTTGGATTTTAAATATAGGACTTAAAAAGAGAAACATTCCTCTTCTCCCCAATGGTAGCTGACACTCTGTGCAGGGAGCCGGCCGCTACAAGAACTAGTGCATGAAGGAGCCCCGAGCACGCCTCTGCGGGCATTGGAGGTCGGGGTGAAGACATGGGAGTCCTGGGGCTTTTCCTACAATTATCAACAAGCCCTTGGCCCTGCTACTCTCCAAGCATCCACATGGCCTATTATATATGTCACTTACAAGACCATGCAGACTACCTAATAGAAGATTTCTAAAATTGCCAAGGTGCCCCCTTTCCATTTTAAAAAGAACCTGTTCAGCTCTAGTGTAAAAAGGAAGAATGGTCTGGACAGTTAGATTTTTAAATAACCCCCCCATTGCTACCGACAGCAAAAAGCACTCCATTTCCACCACATTACACTTACCCTGTACCCCCACAGTGAAGAATGTGGACTGCCTAAATCATTCAGACAACTGCCTTAGATAATTACAGGTTTCCCATTACTCTTTGTGCAGGAAGTCTTGATTTATAGGAAATTTTAGTCCGTGTTCAAAGAGGAGTATATTCTACCCAAACTCGCTATGTAAGACTTGTATTTCCTTAGAGCAGCCATATAATTTAACCCTTTTCCCCAGTCTTTTAAAGAACTAAATTGTTTGCTGTTTAGTTAATAAACTTAGAACTCGCTGTTTGGATCATGATGAGTAACATTTAGCCTGATTATTTTAGTGTGAGTGTGTATCAAGCCTATTGCAGTAGTTTTCATCTCTGTTTCTAATAAGAAATCTGACATGTCTGAAGGAAATCCAGTGGCTGATGCTATCAGATGTGCCGTGCACATAAGAACACACTTGTGGATCTATCTGTGTACGAACAAAGGTCAAATATTTACATGGAATGTTGACCCTGACTTATACAACTATTTTAAGTTATGACATATTTACATACAATTTACTTTATGAATAGCTCCATTTGATGATTAAAAAAATATGCCTCTCAAATATGTCATAAATATATAAAATTTCGCTACATTCTATTTTTCTTTAAACATGACATCTAAACTCTCTTTACAAATCAACAAGAAAAAAATATTTTCTGTTTGGAAGTCACAGATGCAGGGGGTTTTGATGGGTAGGGTCTCACTGCAGGCAAGAATGACATGTTCTCTTACACAACTTACGTCGTTTCTACCGTCCTGAGCTACGTGATTAAGCTGCTGAAGTTCAGTAGTAACCAAGAAAAATGAGAGCCCATCTAAATATCTATAGTATGAGAGTCTTTCTTAAAGTTCTGGAAAAATGGTGAGATTACGATAGTATCTGACCAGTGTGAAGAATTATTTTCATGATGAAGAGATAAGTTAACATTACATGAAAATTTTTCTAAAATACGTCGGAGTGCAATTTAAATATATGTTCAATTGCATTTGTGAAAAGTGATCACATTTTTTAACTGTATCAGTAACATGTAAAACATCTACTTTTAGAATAGGTATCACGTTCTTATAATTTATTGGGGCAATCCAAAGCCAGCTAAGAATCACCTCTTTGGTGACTCTAGAAATCCTGTCTGAGGATTTACAAATAAAAATGTCCTTTGTAATTGTTACTTGCCCCAAGATATCACCATCTTGACAAAGATTAATACCATAAGGAAAGGCTTTTAGTCACAGATATAATTAGTTTTAAAAGTCCATCTTCCCTTCTTAAATATTTGAGTCACTGATCTGTAGTCATAAAAAGGCCTTCTCAAGCTAGAACATGAAGGCCACTATGAATATATCATATGTATGTAAGAAAAAGGTTGCATTTTTAGAATAAGAGGATGTCTTACTGCCAGCCTGGGTGAATCTATAATGACCCATCCAAAGAACAGCAAAGATGTCCTGTTTGCTTGGAGCTGTTCAAGGCCGCTAACTTAATACCTTCAACTGTTAACCTACAAACTTGATGGCAGGTGCCACGTCTGAGACCATCTGAAGCACTGAAGTCCCATATCTATTCTTGAGCTATTTCTCTCCAAAAGTCCAACCTCATCTTGGAGCTAGAGCTGCATATTAAAGGCAACCAGCAGGTTCAAAGCTCTGCTCAGAATATGGTACTGTGCGAATTTTGATTTTGGATCTTATACTCAAATATTGTGTTTGAAACAAGGCTGTAAAAAGATACAAACAAAACCAACATTCAGTTTTAAGCAAGACTGCACATCTACAACAGTGCTATAGATTAAAAACCCTACCACCAAAACGGTAACTGATTCATCATGCACTCTACAAAAAAGATGATCGTGGAACTTCCCTTAGTTATGAATGTAACCAGCTCACTGGAACCCAGTGGGTTTCTGTCTCTAACTTGTCAAACGTTGTTTTTAGCTCATTGAATGCCACAGTGAGGTCATCATTTACGATAATTTTGTCAAAAAGATGGCCATATTGACTTTCCATTATCTGTGCAGATTTAATCATTTCCTGAAAGTCGTCTTCCTACAAAAGGAAGTATTAGGAAAAAAAAAAAAAAGGTTAAGCAGGCAATTACATCACTTTACACAGATGCAAGCATTTCCACAACTGGTTTACCGAATGCTATTCATGTTCATTCTTTCATCTCAGGCACAAATTTATGAAAATGACCCTCTTGAACAACAAGTTCTTCAGAGGTCATGGCTTCTAATTCTCTCTCTCCGATCTGCTTGTAACTAAACTGCTCTCACAGAGTCAAAATTCCCATGTTTACCGAAATTAGGGATTATTGGTCACTAATGTATCATTACAGTATCATTATAGGGGTGTTTCGGTTAATGGAACATAAAGATCTATTCACAGAAGCACAAAAAAAGCTATTACCGTACAATCACTCAAAATGTATGTGCCTAAATACAATCTGAGTTTCATCGATTTTTGGATCACAGGATCTACCACGTCTTCCAAAGGTAGTGGCTACCGCACATACGATTTAGAGTAAAACTTATGTTGTCGTACTTACTGTAAAGGGCTTTGCAGCACCCTGGTCATCTCGGCTTGAGATAATCTTTGCATTTTTTCTTGTCTCCCTCAAACGCTCTATCGATGGAGGCTTTATAAATATCACGTAGGGCTTAAATTCTAGGGTCCTTAAATGTTTCACTGTCTGCAAGGAAAATCAGTTTTCTTATATTTCTTCAAAATGTCATGAGTGAATTGTATGATAAAACTGAAGTTTCTTTTGAAGGAGAAAATTTCCTTAAAATTATCTAATTCAGGCCAGTAGCTCTTTCAATATATTATTTCAATCAGTTGTTGACAATACATTAGGTTTGGATAAGTACTATATATAATATATTGTTAATGATATTAAATATTATATATTGTTGATATTAAGTTAATTACTAATTAATGAACATTAGTATTAGTAAATACCCCTGAAAAGATGTTAGGGAATATAACTTGCCTTTTTAAGTGTTTTGAAATGTCCTAATACTGAAAAGAAGCAGCTAAAAATATCATAACAGTGATTTTTAAATCAAATACTTAAAAGATGCCATGAGTTAAAAAGCTGTCTGCACACAAAAGTCTTCCAACCATCACATGTAAGCATTTTCCTGACCTCACATATGAGTTCTCCGTTTGTCATTCTGTCCTTCGGAGGGACCTAAAAGGGCAAGCCTCCTGTTTTCCATGAAGCTTGTCAACACTCCCCCATCAATATTTTACATTATTTACACTACGCTTCTGAGGACTCACCTGGGGGACTGGTAAAGGGGTGGGAGTTGAGGGATACTCTTGAGCCGTAGTCAGGGGTTCCCCAGAATGTGAATACAATTCACCAACCCCTTTGAGAGGTTAGACAGTCAGGTTCCAGAGGGTAGGAGGTGGGGGAGGGGGAGAGGTGATGGGTGGGGGGTGGAGTTAGGGCTGGGGAGAGACGGCCAGAGGGCTGGTGAGGCTATGTGGACGTACAGCTGGAACCACACCGAGGGACTTGGACACAGCCAGAGCCGGGGCACCGGCAGAGAGGGGCTGCATAAGCAGGAGCTTCCTACTCCTCGCCGGTGCCTACGTTAAGGAGTCAGCCGCCCTACTGATTCTCGGGACTCTTTTATTTCAGACTCATCTTCCTGAAGAGGAAGGAAGGGCTTCTCCGGGCTGTTCAGGCTCTTGGAGGTTGTGCACCCTAAGGTGTACCCATCAGTGGACTGAGAATCTGTGGCCTCTGGGCAACAAGGAAGACTATGGGTTGGGTCTGGAGGATATGCGGTTCCACAAGAACTGAATGGCTTCCTCCACTGGCATCCGCAGTCCAAAGTGTTCACAGGGGTTGCCAGGGTCAGCTGTGAGCAGGGTCTCATTCAGTACGATCCCTGTGAGGCGCCCCACAGCTTTACATGGGCGGCTTACACTTCTAGGATGTGTACAGAATCAAACTCAAAGAGGGCCAAGAACCAAGTGTCCACTGTAAAAATTACAAACACTTACAATAACACACAACACTCAAGAATACATTATGCATGGAGCAATGTATTTTTTAAATAATTATTTTAATAAGTTAATACTTTTAATTTATTAATTTAATGAATTAATTTTTAACAAATAATACTAGAAGAAATATCTAGGAGTCCTTGTACTTGGCCAAAACAGTATATAACCAGGAGTTACAAACAGATCTTGTGTTTACTCCCTACTTCTAATAATATCATGGGCCTTTCTCCCCCCCACCAGAGACTTCTCAAATCCCATTTAAATGCTCTTGTCATTAGGAAGGCCACATATATGTCAAAATGAGGAGCCTTCACATTTACCCCACGCCGAAAGGTTCACATGAAGCCTGGTAGGTCACACAAGCCAGAAGGTATTTAATAGTTTGTTGTTCACTTACATGAGGCTGCACGTCCAACAAACAAACTTTGTTTTTAGCCAGGACAGACCGAACCGAGTCAATACTTGTGCCGTAGTAATTGTTTTTATATTCCCCATATTCAATAAACCTGTAGGAAATCGGACATGCGTCAGAGCCATTTGCGAATTAATTATACACATAAGTGGAAAGACATAATTCATATATGTAAACGATATTTTTGCTGAACATGTAATTTTATTTTACAGTGTTCAATAAAATAAATAGGGCCAAGTCCTCCAGAATGGCAGTTTTAAAAAATCTTTTATTTTACATTTTCAAATCAGTAACACTTGCTTGTATTACACGGAAACAGAAAAAAGTACGTTAGCCCAGCAGCACTCTGTTTGCCATCACCTCTGTTTCAGAACTAATGCAATGCAATAAAGCAGTGAATAAGCCAAACAATAGAAACTACTGAAATTTCACCATGCGCTATGGAATAACCAAGCTCAGCTTTAGAACCACAGCGGGGACTGGCTGGTGGCTAATGGAACCAGGGCAGCCGATTATGTGCTATAAAAACACAATCGCTGTGCCAAATGTGGAAAAAAGCATTTTGATGTTTCAATAAAATCCCCAAATCCTACATTAAAACACACATTGCTCCCCGACACCCTCCATTATCCATGCTGGAGCAAATGGAAGACCTGGGGAGGTGGAGGAAGTAGAGCCAGCCAGGGGGGTTAGTACAAACAAGGTGATTAACGTTATTTTAATTCTTTGAAGAATCGGTGAGGGAGAGAAGTGTGTGGGGGAGAGAAGTGTGTGGGGGAGAGAGGGTGGAAGTAGGGATCTAGGACATAGCTGTTAGTTTTTTGAAATAAAATTCTATTCACATCATGTGTTAGGAGTCAATTAGCTGGGGTCACAATAACACACTAGGAACATTCCCTTGTTTTTCAAAATAATTCCTACACACTTGACACAAACACAGCAGCTCTAGGATATTAAAACATTACAGGTAAGATTGGTAACAAGCGCTAACTGACTTATCACCTTCTTATCAGTTTCAAATATTATAAAACTGAAAATATATTTCAATTGGAAGGGAACCCTCAGTTGCCTAAAAGTGGACATGTAGGCAACATGTTTTAAAAAAACAGTCACACAAAAAACCTTCCACATACTTGTTATTTTGTACATCTGTCTCAAACAAATGCTTGGAGATGAAAATGTATTCCACGCCGTCACTCTCCTGGCTTCTTCTCGCTCTGGTTGTGTCTGTGATTTAATTAAAAAGAGTTTACAAAAGTCTGCATCAGCCTCCCTGAGGAACACACTAAAAAAGAAATCATCGTGTATTAGAAGTGCTTTTTTATCAACCAGACTTAAAAACTTACCAAAGAGCAAATTAGCCAATGAAATTAAGTGTGATTAATTCAGAGTTTTCCATCGATATAAAAGTACATTGATTTGAAGATGGATTCAAAATTAAATTGCATTGTGTCTGTGCTACTCATTATCTTGAAGGTGCTCGAATATGTTAATTAAATAAAAGTTATCTTATCCCTCGAGGAAAAACTCCTTTCTTTTGCAGATATGCTTATTATCATATTCACTGAAGCCAGTCTAACACACACTAGGTTGTAAGGTAGACTCTGAAATGATCTTACTCTCTCTTCCACACACAGCAGATAGCGAGTATGCCATCGATAACTGAAGTCAGAGACCTCCAGGTGCTATTCATTCCTCCTTTACAAAAGTATATAAACACCTTCTTAGAATACTGAACCTCCAAACATTCAGTAATTTTGCATAATTATTTGCTACTAAATTATTATGGAGCAGAAAACACAAGACTAATTTTAAAACCATAACCAAACCTGAAGAGTCTTAGTGCTGATACGGCACGTGAAAAACTGATGATGGTCCATCCTTCCTGCTGATTACAACGAGAAGCTGTGTGCCCAAGACAAACTATCTGAGCACTTTTATTTATTATTTATTATTATTTTTGAATGTTTATTCATTTTTGAGAGACAGAGTGCACAAGCGGGATAGGGACAGAGATTGAGGAAGACGCCGAATCTGAAGCAGGCTCCAGGCTCTGAGCTGTCAGCACAGAGTGCGACATGGGGCTCAAAACCCTGAACTGTGAGTTCACAACCTGAGCCGAAGCTGGATCCTTAATTGACTGAGCCACCCAGGCGCCTCCTGAGCACTTTTAAAAGTAAATAAAACAGGTTGTAGAGGGAAATCAAGCTGCACGGGGCAGAGATTTAACTTTTATTTCCTCTTCATTTTTGCCCTGATGGTGGGAACGTTCACAGATCATCATGGTGTTATGTGTGACTAAATTTGAGTAGGAGCCCTGATTAAGAAAAAACAAAAAAAGTCCTTAAAAATTGAGGTGTGTGGAGGTAATCTAGGAAGACTGGAGGTGATATTCTAATCCTTAGTAGGAACGAATACTAGCTGAAGACAACCCCCTGAGCTATAGGCATGCAGTTCAGACTCAAGCTAACAGCAACATTTTATGACTGAGATTAGAATATAGAAGTCTCAGCCTAACCCATCAATAACAGCAGCACAGAACACACTCAAACCAATGTAGAACAGGCTTAGAGACCTGAGCTAAGCTGTGAACTCTGTACACAAGTATCAGACTCCTCCCTGAACTACATGTGACAGGGATGACCCAAACCAATGTAGCAAGAGGTTTAGAGAATTGATCTGAGATTTAAATCACAACTCATAATGAGACAGAACTTATGGTCTAAACACAAAATGGCTAATTACTTGCTAAAATAAAAACATTCTCCAGAATGTTGATTCCCCTATACAATCTGCCTGCTTTCCTTACTTTCAGAGTGCTCAGACAGTTGTCCTGGGGCCAGAGTTTTTAGTTGTAATCAGCAGGAAGGATGGGCTTCAGCCTTCCACATCGGCACTGCAACTCCTCAGGTTTTTTTTGTCTGCTTTTTTATTTTTTTTACACTTATTTATTTTGAGAGAGAGAGGTAGAGGGAGAATCCAAAGAAGGCTCTGTGCTGTCAACACAGAGCCCGATGTGAGGCTCGATCGCACGAACTGTGAGATCATGACCTGAGCTGAAATCAAGAGTCAGGCATTTGACTAAGCCACCCAGGAGCCCCTGTTTGTTTTTAAAGGTAATCCTATATTTTCAGATCCATTATAGGTAGGACCTAGAGTTGATACAACACTGCATTCATAATATCCAGAATGCAATTAAAAATTATTCAACATAAAAAACCCATAAATTATGATCAATTCTCAAGGGAAAAATGAGAGATGGTGACTCTGAATGAACAAGTTAGGACTACCAGGGAAAGAATTAAAAGCCACTATTATCACTGTGTCTTACAAGGTAAAGGAAAATATACCTGAAATGAACAAAGATATGCATTCTTTGAGAAATGGAAGCTATAAAGAAGAATCAAGTGGAAAATTTGAAACTGAAATCTACAATATCTAACAGAAACAAATCACTAAGTGGGCTCAGTAGCAGAATGGAGAGGACAGAGAAAAAAGCCAGTGAACTCGAAGGTAGGTCAATAGAAACTGTAAAATCTGAGCATCAAAGAAAAAAAAGATTGAAAAGATATAAATAGAGCCCCAGGGACCTGTATAACATGTGTGTAATTTGTATGCCAGAAGGAGATAAAAAAAAAAAAAAGATTGAGGCAAAAAAAAAAAATGTATTTGAAGAAATAATGGCCAAAAACTGCTAAATATTTGGTGAAAGACATAATTTTTACAAACTCCAGAAACTTCAACAAATCTCAAATAGGATAAATTCAGAGAAAAATCATGCCTAGACACATTAAAACCAAAGTACTATCAGCCAAAGATACAGCAAAACATTTTGAAAGCATCTAGAAATATCCAATACAGTACATGTGAGGAATACTGATTTCGGGTTTCTTATATTATTCTTATATTATTATAAATTATGAAAATAAGAACTCAATGAAATAATATCTATACTTAAGGTACTAAAAGAAGAGAATTTCACCCAAAATATCCTTCAGGAGAAAAAGGCAAAATAAACACCTTCTCAGAAGAAGAGAAACCAAAAAATTCATCAGCAGATGTGTTCTAAAAGAATATTCAAGGAAGGTTTTAGGCTAAAATGTTAGGAAGGAAATGTATATCTTCAAGGAATGAAGAGTAACAGAATGAATGGTTGAATAGAAATAGAAGTTTACTTTTTTCCTTTTAAGTTCCTTAAAAATATATATATGTAAAAATACATTTATATATGTATATATCACATATACATATACAACTGATAGAAAAGTTTTAATAGTATTGGGTAGAGTTTCCAATATATACAAACACGAAACATCTGTCAACTACCACAAAAAGGACTCTATGATTGAAAGGTTTCTATATTTTATGTGAAATGGCATGAAGATAGCTCTAAGTAGACTGAATGGTTAGGTATCACCATGTTGTAATCCCTAGAGCAACCAGTAAACAATTCATACAAAGAAAGACATGTAAGCAGAGAGCAAACAGATAAACTGAAATTGAACATCAAGAATCTTTCTAATAATAACAATAAAAGTAACAGTAGAAAAGAAATAAGCAGAAAGGGATAAACAGAAAAAAAATAAAATAGTAGCTTAAATTTAATCATTTCCATAATTCAGTAAATGTTAATTGGTTTGTATACTCCAATCAAAAGGTAGAGATAGAATGGGTGAAAAAGCAAGACCCTAGTAATGCTGTCTATGAAGTCTATGAGAAAGACACATTAAATGTAAACACACAGATAAATTTAAAGTAAACAGAGGGAAGATTGTATATATACCCTGTAAACAGTAAGCATAAGGCAGCTGAAGTGGCTGCTTTAATATCAGGTAGAAGAGATGCCAAGAAAAGGAGTATTACCAGAGATAAAGAAGAACACTTCATAACGATAAAAGAGAAAATTATGGGAATTGTAAATTTGTACACACATAATAACAAAACTTTAAAATATATTCTGGGGCACCTGGGTAGCTCAGTCAGATAAGCGTTGGACTCTCGATTTCGGATCAAGTCATGAACTTATGGTTTGTGAGATTGAGCCCTACATCAGGCTCTGTGCTGACAGAGCGGAGCCTTCTTGGGATTCTCTCTCCCTCCCTCCATCACTCATGCTATCTTCTTTCTCAAAACTAAACAGTAAAAAATAATGTCATTAATTAAAAAGAATAAAATACATGATGCAAAAATTGGCTGAGTTAAATGAAGACATGGACAATTTCACAATCAGAATAGGAGATTTTAATGCCTCTCAACAACTGATAGAACTAGACAAAATATCAGTAAGACACAGGTGATCTAAACACTACCACCACCCTCTGGGGCCTAATTAATACCTATGTAACACTACATCTGATAAATGCAGAATACACATTCTTTTCAAGTGAACATGATGCATTTGTCAAAAGGAAGATCAAATGCTTGGCCAATAAAAAGCCCCAATAGGGGCGCCTGGGTGGCTTAGTCGGTTAAGCGTCCAACTTTCGCTTAGGTCATGATCTCGCGGTTCGTGGGTTCGAGCCCCACGTCGGGCTCTGTGCTGACTGCCAGCTCAGAGCCTGGAGCCTGTTTCAGTCTGTGACTCCCTCTCTCTCTGACCCTCCCCTGCTCATGCTGTCTCTCTCTCTCTCCTAGAAATAAATAAAACATTAAAAAAAAAAACTTAAAAAAAAGTCCCAATAAATTTAAAAGAACCCAAATCATAAAATCATAAATTCTCTAAACATAAAATAATTAAAAATCCAGTGATAAGATATCTAGGAAAACCTCAAATAGCTGCAAATTAAAGCACACACTTCTAAATAATTAAAGATCCAAAGATAAAATAATAAAAGTATGCAAATACCATGAAGTATATGACAAGGAGAGTACAACCCATCACAGGTACAGGATGGAATGTGGTGTGAAACAGGAAGCTTACACCTTTAAATGCTTATGTTAGAAAAAAGATCTAAACTCAGTGACTGAAAGTTTATCTTAAAAATTTTTTTTACTCTACTCTAAATACTGATTCTAGATAACTCTAGCCCTCCTTCTGACATCCCTAAGGCTGGCTGTAGAAACAAGAAGCTCACTGTTAATTCCAGCTTTGCTTTTTCTTCCTTTTGGCACTCTGGCCCAGTGAAGACTACAGAGCAGTCAGTTCCCACTCTCTCAGGGGTATACACACAAATGTATTTATCTTCTCTAGTCCCAACTTTAGAGTCCCCAACTCAAGGTGGTCTCTACTTTCTTCCTTTTCTTTAAAATAATCTATACCCAAAGTGGAGCTCGAACTCACAATCCCAAAAAAAAAAAAAAAAAAAAAAAAAATCATGTATTTTATTCTCGGTGGCTCAGTAGTAAACCGTATGACTCGATTTCAACTCAGGTCATGAATCTCACTTTCATGAGTTCGAGCCCCACATCAGGCTCTGCACTGACAGTACGGAACCTGCCGGGGATCCTCTCTCTCCTCCCTCTTTCTACCCTAGTTTACAGAGTGTGTGTGTGTGTGTGTGTGTGTGTGTGTGTGTGTGTGTATAAGAAATCTCAACTGAGGTTTTCTATGGACAAAGAAGTGTTACAAAACATGAGGTCCTTGAAACCTATGAAAACACATAACTGTGATATATGCCTTCACCAGAAACCACAAAGTGATTAACAGGTGTGGCTGACTGTGAGTACCCGAATTCCAGACTGTAAAGACTTGGGAATCCATCAAGAATTTGACATCTACTGCAATACTTTTTGTTAACTGCTTTATTTTAATTTACTGAGACAGCCTTTTGAAAGACTGGTTACATTATTAGTCATTTAAATTTGTTGCTGATAACCTAGAGCCTTAAAACGGTGTTGATGCTGCTCACTGAGGATGAAATCTCCCACAGAGAAGCAAGCTAGGAGAAAACAGGCCTTGGCCACCACTTTCTTTAAAAGCAACTTTCAATGTTTAATGTGGCACCATAGATATTTTTTAAAGATTGTATAATCCGTTCTGCCATGTTAGCCCAAGAGTGATAATATTTACTTCATTTAGCAGCCCTTTAAATAACTTTTTAAAAATTGCAAGAATTACAGATTCATGATAAGTTGCAAAAATAGTACAGAGCAGAGCTCGTATAACTATCACTCAACTTTTCTCCAGTGAAGGAAAGTGTTCATCTTCCATAACTGCAGTGTAGTCAAGACCAGAAAATGGACACCAGCAAACCACAGTGAACTAAACTACCAAATGTTTCTTTTTAACACTGAAAAACCTCAAGCATTCTCTACAGAAAAGTTCACATGAAGGCTTAATGGATTTTCACAGAACAAAAATACCCAGGCAGGGGCACCCACCATGAAACAGAAAATTTCCAAAACTCCACAATCACCTTACTGATCCACCCCTCGAGATTTCTAACAGCATTTAGAAATCTTTTTGCATTGCTTTTAGTGTATTTATACAAATGGAGGCAAGTTGCATATTCTCTTTTGTGTCTGCCTTTCACTGGACATGTTTGGTGGGATTCAAATTGGGCATTGCAGTCTTCCATCATGTGAACGTACCATCATGTCCCTTATCCATTCTACTTACTGACAGGCATTTGGGTCCTTTCCAGTTTGGGGCTCTTATGAATGATAATGTTTCCAGGACCATCCGAGTGCAGGTTGTATGAATCTCTGTTGGCTGTGTACTAGCAGAGGAATTGCGGGGTCATGGGGTACATATTTCACTGTAGTAGATACTGTCACTTAATTTTCCAAAGTGGATGAACTAATTTACAGTCCCAGCAGCACCAGCAACGTGTGAGAGTTCCATTGTTCCACATCTTCTTCACCCTACCCATTCTGGTGGATATTTAGTACATTGCAGGGGAAAGATTTATAGAGCTAAACTTCGAACAGAATACTGGTAGAATCATCACAGCAATAATTTTTCTACAAATAATCAAGACTCTACCTAGAATAGTTTACAAAGCAAAACAATCTAAAATTCCAAAACTGTTCTTAAAATTTATTCTTCTTTAATTAATTAAATCATCCCGAGCTGATGCTATGGCTCCTCTATTTTCCAAACATGTCCAGTATTATGAGTCACTTGGGATATATAAATACAGACGCTCAGGCACTCCGTCAGATTTCCTGAAGGAGGATTTCTTTGGAAAGGCCTTGGAATCTTTTCATATGAAGCCCAAGAGGTTTTTATTATCAGCCAAGTCTGGAAAACACTGCTCCATGGGAATCTCCTGACATTAACACCTGTTTAAAAGTGAATCTGAGTGGAAAATTACTACTTTGGGGATTTCTTCGGAGAGTTCCAGCCCCAGAACCTTTCTGGATGTTCTCAATTTCTGTAACAACTTTAGAGGCAGATATTATTTGAATCGTTAGATAAATTGAGGCCAGAGTACATTGCCCTAGGTCCTCGAGTACCACCAAAACTATCATAAAGCATTATGTGTGATCGACAGCCTTATTGGTATTTAGCATCTTCCAAATAAATGGATTTTTATTTCTAACTGTGCTGCAATAAAGAGAATCTGTAGTTGGAAAAGACTGTCTAGTATTGTGTACAGGGGGAAGAACGTGAAGACTGGAATCAGAAAACCTGGTTTCCAGTCACGTATCGTTTCTGTCTCTTTCCCCCTCTGTGGCATGCAGATGTCGCCCCATTGTTGGGACACTGAATTCAGACAATTAAAGGAGATGAATACACAGTAGGAAATTAATACATGCATTCCTCTGCCTTTGTAATCTGTTTTTCCATCCTCTGGGTGCTTTGTAACGGCTCACCTGTAAGACTGGCACTCGTTTCGTAAAATTTTCTAATTGCCTGTATATTGCAATTCAGCTTTGTAAGAGAAGTGAATAATTAAAGTTAAAAGAGAGACAGAGAGAGAGAAACCCGATTTAATTCCACGTTTCCACATTTTCCTTTACTTTCATCTCTGTTGGTGGAAACCAGCCGCCCTGTGACGTATGGCTGAAAACGATTACAAACAATAATTTGGAAAAATGCAGTAACAAGGAGTAACTTGAGGTAATAGAAAACTATAATTTTAAAATAAAGCCCAACTCTTCTCAAATGAGAGAAGATTGCTAAGGGCACTATACAAACAGTTGTTTTTGTTTTGTTTTGTTGTGAACAGTACAAAAACCACTTGAAAAAGCGGTTCACATTTCAATTTCGTCTTCTAGAGGGCTTTCTAACATCAACATATTAAGTAGTCAAATGGCATTTATTCTGGAGATCAAAATGCTTCCAACATCGCATTGCACTTGTAAGAAAGCCTATGAAAACCTCTTTTATAAAAATAGATCTAACTCTGTATACTGAAAAGCAGCCTACCATATTTGTCTTATATGGCCATGAAAGGCCCATTTAACACAATCTGCCAATTACTACATATAAAAAGTAATTAAGAAAGGCTTATATTAGAAGAGGCCTCCTTCAGCTCTCTGTGGTTTGGTCCTTCTGATCTTAAATCTGGTGAACACTCTGGAAAATATTAGCACTTGTTTTAGGAAGTAGAATAGTTTGACTTTCACATAGAAGAAAATTTGTAAATAATAGTGTCATATGTATATTAAAAATTCACCATAAAAACTGAGAGAATAGCTAAAATGAACAAATCAGGAGACTATAGATGCTGGTGAGGATGTCAAACTGTTGGTGGGAATGCAAACTGGTATGGCTGCTCTGGGAAACAGTGTGGAGGTTTCTCAGAAAATTAGAAACAGAACTCCCCTATGACCCAGCAATACCACTGCTAGGAATGTACCCAGGGGATACAGGGATGCTGATGCATAGGGGCACATGTAGCCCAATGTTCATAGCAGCCCCTTCAACAATAGCCAAATCATGGAAAGAACCTAAATGCCCATCAACTGATGAATGGATAAAGAAGATGTGGTTTATCTATACGATGGAATACTACATGGCAATGAGAAAGAATGAAATCTAGCCATTTGTAGCAATGTGGATGGAACTGGAGCATATTATGCTAAGTGAAATAAGTCAGTCAGAAAGACAGATACCATATGTTTCACTCTTATGTGGATCTTGCAAAACTTAACAGAAGACCATGGGGGAGGCAAATGGGGAAAAAAGTTACAGAGAGGGAGGGAGGCAACCATAAGAGACTCTAAAATACTGTGAACAAACTGAGGGTTGATGGGGGATGGGGGAGAGGGGAAAATGGGTGATGGGCATGGAGGAGGGCACTTGAGATGAACACTGGGTGATGTATGGAAACCGATTTGACAATAAATTAGATTTTTAAAAAAAAGAAAAATCAGCACAAAAACAAACAAAAAAACAGAGTAGAGGGGCACCTGGGTGGCTCAGTTGCTTGAGTGTCTGACTCTTGGTTTAGGCTCAGGTCATATCTCAGAGTTCATGAAATCAAGCCCTGTGTTGGACTTTGTGCTGACAGTGCAGAGCCTACTTGGATTCATTCTCTCTCCCTCCCACCCCCACCTCTCCACCTTTTTCTCCTTCTTTCTATCAAAATAATAAACTTAAAAAAGAAATATTTAAAAAAAAAACCCTAAGAATAGAGAAGAAGCTGTGATTAACAAATACTCTGCCAATGATGTCTGCACTCCAGGGCAATCCCTGAACTCCTGTGCTTCAGTTTCCTCTACTGTAAAATGTGGAGAATGTCGCTGCATACTTGCTAGGTCTGCTGTGAGTCCAGATGCTGACCGCTTAGAACCATGCTGGGTGCCCCCCATACTACCTAAGTGTTGACCAATCATCATCAGTGCAACCGGAGCAGCATCGGGTAGCAGGGTACTTACGGGGCACTGTCACACCATAGTGTTGTGTGTCACTGATCAGTAGCTTTCGTTTCAGTTCATTCAAACCTACTCCTACGGGACCTGAAAAACAGGATAATATAAATGCTTACAGAAAACACTGTATAAGCAGGTCTATAATTGACATGAGCCTGTAATTGACAGACTGAGATCATATATCCAACTTTGCATCTCAAATAAAGGGATTATCTTTCGTTATGTTGTACATAAGAAAAAGCTAGTTCTTTTGTTGCTTTTTTACTTTGAAAATGTAAATTCCTACCTTTCCATTAAAAAGATAGTAATTTGTTTTAAAGGAAACACACCCAAGAGTTTGAGTATATCACCAAGAGATGGTATCCAGAAGAGCCTAAGATTATATGCATGACTGAGAAAGTGGATGTGCATACTCTGGACACCAACTGTTTCAGTTTTAAATGTTTTTAGGGCTTAATAAAATAACATCTTAGAACATTTATTTTAGATACAAATCTCATGATACATTTTATTTTTTATATTTATTTACGAATTTATTTTTTTGAGCAAGAGAGAGAGCTCACGTGAGCCGGAAAGAGGCAGAGAGAGAATCTCAAGCAGGCTCCATGTCCAGCACAGAGCCCACTCGAGGCTCGATCCCACAACCATGAGATCATGACCTCAGCCCAAATCAAGAGTTGGACGCTTAACCAACTGATCCACCCAGGAGCCCCTAATGATTCATTTTAAATTTGCAAAACCATCAGCCACATTTATGTTGGTCAAGATACTCTTCTTTCCCAATGTTTTCAGTTGGTCCTTAAGTGTTTGGAACCTTGCACTGGTCTTGCATGCTTAAATCCACCAGCGCATACATATTAAACACCATAATGGGCAGGGAGTATATAGTAAATGCCATTGAGAATAAAAGTGAATTCTGCCTTCAAAGAGAGTAATTGGGTTGAAAGAGTCACACCAAATGATTAAGAGACAGAGCAAAACATAAAGCAGTTTCAAATAGGAACCTGAAAACAAGTTAGAAGGCCACAAGCGCCCAATGGTGAGCATCACACGAGTCTGCCACCAGGCTCCATTCAGTGATGGTGTGTGTGTGCTGGACAGAACCCAGGCTGTGGACCCAGACGGCCTTGACTCAGGTTCCCTTCTTCACTACTCCTCCCCTGCTGATGCTGGATGAATGGGTGTCCCCCCCCCCCAACCCCAATTCACATATTGGAATCCTAAAGCCCAAGGCATTAGGAGGTGAGGATTTTAGGAGGTGATAAGGTCATGAGAGTGGAGCCCAGGAAGAGACTGGTGCTCTTAAAAAAGAGACTCCACAGAGCTCCCTCCCCTCCAGCACTTGAGGATGCAGCCAGATGCCTGTGACTGGGAAGAGGGCCCTCACCCCGCAGTGCTGGCACCCTGACCTCCAACTTGCAGCCTCCAGAACCCTAAGAAGTGAATTCCTGCTGTTCACCGGCCACTCAGTCTGTGGCGGGTTGTCACCGTGGCCCAAAAGGATGTCTCTGAGGCTTAGTCTCGAGCCTTGATTAGACTTCAGGCTACTGAACGTAATCCTGCCCCCCCTTGGGAGGAATAAGTGAATAACCTCTGTACGGTGCCTGGCACATAGCCCAGGTACTCATGTTCACTCTCTTGCCCACTTCCTCTCCCGAGCTTTGAAAAGAATAAAGTTTCATGCCGGACAATGAAGAACGTACAGGTGGACAGAGAAGAGAACGTGCGCATCCCTGGTGGAGGGAAGAGTGTGAACAGAGAGGAAGAGGCCAGAGCTGGGGGCTGTGCCTTCCTTGCTCTACTGCTACTTTGTAGGGCCCTTGCCTGGATCAGAACTGTCCCCTTGTGGTCACTCACCAGAACCTTCCGTCTTCCAAGGAACTGCTGTCAAGTACCAATTCCCTGGCACTCGGCTCTCCCTCTTTATAACAAATACTCTGTAACGTCCCATTTATACACTGAAATGGAATTCGGAGCTAACGTAACTTACTAGAACATAATTCTTCCCTCCAAATTAATAAAATGGCCTAACTGGGGCACCTGTGTGGCTCAGTGGTTTGAGCATCCGACTCTCGATTTTGGCTCAGGTCATGATCTCATGGTTCATAAGCCTGAGCCCAGAGTTGGGCTCTGTGCGGGCAGTGCGGAGCATGCTTCGGATTCTCTCTCTCCCTCGCTCTCTCTGCCCCCTACCCCACTTGCATGTATGCTTTCTCTCTCTTGAAATAATAAACTTTTAAAAAAATACTTATAATAAAAAATATGCATTTCAATATGTAAATGCTTAGACATGACTAGAAAACCTAATGAACTCAGATGTTTGTACCTACCAATAATAAGGTTGGATTCAAGAGTAATAAGATAAGGAATGATTCTGTACAGGAAAGTACAGGAAAATGGAAGCTCAAAGGGGCAGGAAAACAAGAGAATAAAGACAAGAAACTGGATAAAAAGGACAGGTGAGACTTTCTGGAATATGGTAAGGAAGCGGGGTAATAGCTTTAATTGAAATAGAGATAACTTGTCAAGACTATCAAAGTGCAGAAAACGATCCTTTTGCAAATGACCTTCACTTTACATATAAGTGTTGTATAAAAGTAATTCCCTGTGGGATGGGACAGTGCTTCACTGTCTCAGAAGGCAGACATCTTATCTTGAAACTCGACCATATATTCTGATCTATTCAGTCTCTGAACGTCTACTACAACATCGGAGAGAGCTACGTGGGGTGCGGGTCAGACCTGAGTTCTGGAGAAATGCCACGTCTACATTCCTGGCCCCATAGGCATTCCGACTTTAAAAAAGAGTAAATGTCTACATGCTCACCAGTGGACAGTGCTGCCCTGGGACGTCAGCCCCCGGCCCTTGTCATTTGCTACGTCTCAGCTCCTGCCAGCTCCGTGGGTAACCTTAGCATCCACGTGAACCCGTCAAAGGGCCAGCATCTAACATCCCTGACTCCACATCTAGAGTGATCTCCTTTTCTATTTCACTTTGACCCTCTACTGGAAAGACCTCGACTCTGCCATCACTATTCACTATTCATCACCATATTTCACTACTGAAATATTAAATTCACACTTTTCCAATAGGACTCTGATTCCTTGGGATCTCTCCCTCGGTTATTCCTGCCACACCTATGGTCACGAGGACCTCTCATTTCATTTCTGTCCTTTGTATCGAGCAGGCCTTCATGGCTTCACCCCCATGGGCTCTCATGTCTTCTATTTTGTGAATACCCTCAAATCTCTTACACCCTGTCCTTCTATCACACTTGCCAAGCAGACCCCTAGTCTCAGACCAAACCGGTGGCCCCTCCCCGCATCCACACTTAGGCAGTGAGTACCTAGAACCCACACTGCCCTGGCGCAGTGGTGCCGTACACTCCTGCTCACCACGTACGAACTAAGACTTTCATTATTGTGTGTTCTCCTATCTACTGTATTTCTTACATCCCCGCAATGGTCACTGCAATCCTCTGTTCTCGGTGGTCACACGTGGGGGCCTCCCGCACTCCTATACACTTCCTATCGTCAAAGCAATCACCAAAAGCCATCAGTTTTACCTCCCAACTGGCCTTCAGATCCACAGCCTTAACTGCCACTGCTGTCACAATAGTCCAGGCACCACCATGTTCACCTCCTCTCCCGGCCCCGCCTCCTTGGCTGCCCCACACCTGCTCTTCAGCCACTCTAACCCCCTGTCGCCAGCAGCCAGAGGCCCTGCCAAGGAGCTATTCTGACCCTGTCTCTCCTTTCAACCTCTCAGAAATGTAGTTTCCTGTGGCTCTTCTGAAAAAGATGAACACCTTCACATGGCTTACAAGGCTCCACATGACCTGGTCCCTGGCTCATCCTCAGGTCTCAAAGCATCTGCTCAAGCCCCCTCCTTCATCTGGAGCCCTAGGGAGTTCTGATATGTCAGAGCTTGGCTCACAGAGATCTTCCTCAAGCAAGTCTGCAAGTCTGTCCTGAGCCTGTCAACCAGGTTTCTCAGTTTTAAGTTTTCAGAGCATCCTGTCTACCTTCCTACTACTTACAAGTCATAATTCAACACCTGGGTAATACACTGCTTCATGGCCTGTCTGGCCCACCAGGCGGAGACTCCATAAGGGCAGGAAGCATATTACGTCACCTGCCATCCCCAAAAAGGAATAAAAATCTCAACAGAACTCTGTGGAGCGAATGCAATGTCTAGTGTCACCATCACCACCTGCAGCTCACTGGAAGACCTCACCTACCCCGGGAACACAGAGGCCAACAAGTGCAAAGGTCTTCAAAGCCCTTTTTATAAACATACATATCTAAACCTACCTACACCATCATCCTTGATGCCTCTGTGCAATCACACACTCACACCTGCTCTTCTGAGTCGTCACCTCCTGCGGCTCCATCAACACTTAGAACTAGTAAATTCTCTCCTACTTTAAAACAGCAACCACAAACTTCCCTTAACCTTAAGCCATCCCTCAGCCACTGCTCACTCTGGTCTCTGCCACCCTGGCTTAGGCTTCTGACATGTACCACCTGTGATCTCTCACTCTGCCTCCACTGCATACAGAATCAAATATAAATTCCTTGACCAGTTTATATAGACTGCATGTTGTGAGCTACATTTTTATTTCTAATTTTCATTCTTTGTTTTAATGTTTGTTTATTTTTGAGAGAGACAGAGTGTGAGCCGAGCAGGGGACGGGGGGAGAAAGAGAGGGAGACAAAGAATCCGAAGCAGGCTCCAGGCTCCGAGCTGTCAGCATAGAGCCAGACGTGGGGCTCAAACCCATGAACTGTGAGATCATGACCAGAGCAGAAGTCGGATGCTCAAATGACTGAGCCACCCAGGCGCCCCTGATTTTCATTCTTGCTACTCCTTCGCAAGCACACTCCAGCTACATGAGGTCCTCTGCTTCCGGAAATGTGGCAGGTCCTCTTTTGTGTTGTTGGGTCCTCATGGTGTGCTGCTTGCTTTTGCAAGGACACTCCTGTCTTCTTCATGGGCTAATCCTTGCTTGTTGTTTCAGCTTAGATACACTTTAGGGAAATCCTAACACTTTAAATCTGGGTTTGGTACCAAGTTCACGTGTTCCC